ATTTTTTTGTTATAAGATGTCCGAAACCATGTGGTTTCATGCAAAAGAGCGCTTCACATTTAACAGATATTTCTTAAGTCAAGGTAATTTATTCTATCTTTTTTATTATATAACAATAGTTAAAGGCTAATAATTTAAAATGCAAAAGTAACAATAATGTCCAAATCTAGAAGTAAGTCTTATAACTTAAGTGTGTAAGCGAAAGCGTGTAAGCGAAAGCCCTTATTAGAAAAACTGTATAACAAGTTAATGAGTATACTTAGATTGTAACGCAACGAAAGGTAAAACAATAACGAACGAAGCCTAAGTACTATATTTGTTTATTATTACAGGATTACAGTAAAGGGTATAGACATCAACGTTTTCACTGTTAAACTAATGGAGATCATGACTTGTATTTACGGAAGAATAAAAAGAATACAACTGCAATATGAGCCTCCGTTATAGAGAGAGCGCACGATACCACATTCAAAAACATACCTTTCAGCTAAGACATGAATCCGTATGTTCTAGCTTTCAGATAATACAAGATTGTTGACAATGATGCCGCTCTAAACTACCAATCAAAGACGGGGATAAGGCGCCTGAGGTATGGTGTGTGCCGCGTGCCACAACTACCTTGAGCCTACTCGACAGAACACTAAACTGTGCGAGGTCGAACAAACAAGGCACGAAGAAAACAATACCCTAGAAAATAAAGTTTATTCATTTTCCTGAGAAAGCCTCAAATTTGACTGCATTTGCCCTTTGATCCCATTTTACTAAGTCATGTTTCCATGCATTTTGATTACCTATAAAGTTACAGCAATCCTTCGCTACCAGTCATGTGAGTCATTGTAATATTTCCCTTAAATTCCATACAATAATTGATTTCCTCCCCCACCCCTTTTTAAACTCAAAGGATATTGCACTACAAATGTGTTTCCATGCATTTTGATTACCTATAAAGTTACAGCAATCCTTCGCTACCAGTCATGTGAGTCATTGTAATATTTCCCTGAAATTCCATACAATAATTGATTTCCTCCCCCACCCCTTTTTAAACTCAAAGGATATTGCACTACATCGAAATAAACCACCTCGGGATATGTTTGCCCTGTGAACACCCAGAGATAAAAAATATCGCCATCAAGGGATGGGAAGATAATAGACTTCCATTGCTTGTCCTAGGGTTTCATATGGACCCTTTGCTCCCAACGGGGGATGTGGGATTGTGTAAGATATCCTGGTTGTGAACGTACATATGTAGCTCTAACACTGACAATGTGTATGTAGTTTGTAAAAAACTGCTTTTTTTATGATAGCTTTTTAACAAACTGCTCATAATTTGATTACTTCGCAATAAACTGCTCGTAATATAAACTTTGTAACAAACTGCTCGTAATATAAACTTTGTAACAAACTGCTCGTAATATAAACTTTGTAACAAACTGCTCGTAATTTGATGACTTTTTAATAAACTGCTCGTAATATAAACTTTGTAACGACTGCTCGTAATTTGATTACTTTGTAACAACCTACTCGTAATTTGATTACTTCATAACAACTGCTCGTAATTTGATTACTTTGTAACAAACTGCTCGTAGTTTTATTGCTCCGTAACAAACTGCCCATAATAAGATTACATTGTAACCAACCGCTCGTAATTAGATTACAATCTAACCATTCGCGAGAAAAGTGATTACCTTGTAACAAACAGCTTGTAATTTGATAACTTTGTAACAATCTGCTCGTCACATTTTTACTTTGTAGTACTCTGTTCGCTCTTCTGTAGACATTCCCTGATGCGTGTGCAGCATAATTTATTTTACAGCGACCAGTCGTATTAGCCGATAAAACGTCCCTTCC